GACAGTACTCCATTCATACGTGCACTAGAATGAAACCAATAAGTTTGATTTCCTGTGGAGTACGTCAAGCTCGCATTTTCCAGTAAACATCTTTACGTTCACTGACTTGAAGATTACATATTAAACAACAACTTTCATACATTAAGAAAGACAATCTTTCTGACATTGTACGGGCATTTCACAATAGTTTAAACTGAACCAATCTTTCCACAGAACATAAATAATTATCATACAATTTCCTAAATTATATTTTAATGATATTTAGAAACATCAACTTCATTGTTATTAGAAGTACCTGTAACGTTGCTATATGCGTTGCTATTTAAACCTTTTTCTTATCTAAGTTATATTATTGATTATGCAATTCAACCTTAAAAATAAATTATATTAAATCACAGAAAAAAATCAAACCTATGGTACCGTACTCACTATGCAAGCATGACTCCAGTAGCCACTAGAGCGATGGGAGTAACCTAAAGTGGAGAACGCGCTGTTGACGTATGTTGAAGCTGTTGGGACACTGATGCCTATGGGAAGAAAAATATCGTTTGGAGAACAATTAAAGGAAAGGTTATTTGTTCTTGTCTTTTCTCTTCTACTAATGCATCTCTTCATATGATAGGAATTTGGGAGTAATAAAGCGAGTATCTCACCAGGGGTATGGACATAATCTGAAAAACTGGTCAAGTTGGTCGAGACGTAACCAGGATTGATGGTCTGGATGGTGAGGCCTGAGTCACTATACTCCCCGTACAGCGATGTCGAAAAGTAGTCCACAAAGGCCTACCAACGAAAAATAACAACCATCTATGAGGATATCGTGTCCTACCAAAGATGATATCAAAATCTCTAACCTTTCAATGGGATCATGAAGTGTCAATAGAAACATAATAATGATCATCAACGATAAACTATGCTATTTCAACATTATTAACGAAATATAACTCAATCACTGAAATACTTTTGTAGCTGAATAAATCCCGAGGTAAGGAACTGGGGCATGACACGCCATGGAAGCTATATTGATGATGGCTCCTTGGCGCCGAGCAAGCATGGCAAGTTTGCGACCCCACCAACATTATTTACTGAAAAAAATTATAAAATTAATATTGTAGGTCTTAGAAATTATTCATATGTATGGTTGACAATATTTTACATTACTGTACTGTGGAATGTATAGTTTGCATCATACAGAACAAGGTACGTGGCTTAGATCAAACTCAGATACAACAATCTAGTTATTAGGATCTCACCTAAAACTCCAATCTCCTTGTCTTGCAGGTGTTTTCCGATGTCCTCATAGATTACACGCCCTTGGCTGAAGTCTGCCTGAACGACCTCAGTCTCTACTCCATATTCATCAGCTAAAACATTATTGCTTACTCTTTAGGTTAGTGTTAGTGAGACTTGATGCTTGTTAATGTGGTTCAATTTTGATGTGAGATGAAATATTGTGTTCTGTTGTAATACAATCTACATAATAAAAAAAGCTGCATTAAAACAAAAAAATATTCTATCGAATCATGTCGATAAGTTGTGTATTCTTGACTTGTAATTAAAACAGTAGAAATGAAATGCTCAAAAATTTTACTTAACTTAAGTTAATGTCTGAAAAAAATGTATTATGAATCCCAAATCACAAAGTGAATCAAATACCAAATTCAACTAAAACCTTCACAGGAAGTGAGAGATGAATTTCATAATCTGCCACTGTTGTCAGTTCAGAGTATGGTTCCGGTAACATTGTCAATCATATTTTTTTTTCTAACTATCTTTGTTTGGCTGGATAGCTTAGCTTAGACTATGGTAATTTACAGTCCAAACACTTTGGTCAGCAGGGAAGCAGTCGCCCACTGAAAATTAATAAACAATAAGAGTATGTAAACAGAAATAAATAGGAATGCATGCCTTCCATAATTTGTCTTGTTCGTGATTTTTTGCCCACACTTCCCGAACTATGATGATGTTTACATCTGTGAAACGCGCCTATGTAATTCGAGACATATTTGGCATAATTTGTTTCCAGAAGACAGAAAAACAAACAACACAACATATCCCTGTACGCTGTGCAACAAATGTATGAGCTTACCAATCTCGGTTTCAACTTTCTTGAGCTTCTCCATGGTGCGTGAGATGAGGATGATGTTCATGCCTCCCTGAGCCAGCTTCTTGGCGTATTCTTTTCCAATTCCATCTGTGCTGCCCGTCACAACTACAAAGATAAGCAAGTTTTGTTATGCTGTACAGTGTGTCTTAAAGGTTGTACACCACAGGAAAATTAATGTTCCTCTGTTTTTATGTGAGGAAATCATAACAAATTAATAAAGATGGTATAGAAATTGGCATTACAAGACAGAGTCGGTATATTATCCATGTACGGAGTGCAAGATGCTACACATCGATCCGTTACCAAAGAATTTTATCGGCCACATCCATATGCCTGGGTGATGTTAAATTATTTTGTGTGTAACATCTGCCTTTCCGTTCATGAACACTAAACCAAATCTTTCTTATAGTGCTAATTTTTCTGCCATCTTCGTTGATCTGCATTGATTCTATCACATAAATAAACAAGAACAAAAAGAGAACATTAATTATCCTGTGATGCGCAACCAATGAGACACCCTGTTTAACATTCAGCCGAGTGTTAACAGGGGTAGAGGAGGTAAAGAATGGGGGTATAAGCTAAAAGAGTTATGTTCACAAATAGACAAACACCTCCTGATGTGAACGTTTATATGATACCGAATTAAGCTGTTCTCTGAATCTAAAATGTCGTACATGAAGTTGGTTTCATATTAACGCTGAGTCAGGTGGCTTCCCCTGGGTAGAGTGACTCGATACTCAAGGTTATAGTAGTCATGGGGACAGCATGCATCCAAGGTCAGTCTTGGTTCCTATGTGTATAAAAATGGACTTATTTTTTTAACAATATGTAACAATGATGAGTATGTTTCCGTGTTGGTTCCTTTAGATTAAATAATTGGGTAACATGTTAAGTGCCTATGGCTGTGTACCTTGATCATTACTGTCAATGTGCCAAGCAATCATAACACTACATTGTTCTACGTCAGACTTCTACAGTGTGACAATCCTACAACTGGAACAGAACGTACATAACATTATAAGCTACATATTGTGACTTTGACACTAAACAATGTGCTAACCTGCCCACTTGCCATACTTGGCAACAAGTCGTTTGTCCCACAATCTGGACCAAAAGAGAGTTCTCACTCCTGTTACCACGTCATGAAGGAGGTATGTGGTCACTTTTACCACGTACAGGATCCCAATGACGGCGAAAACATCCTTTACATATCCAAATCCTTGCAACAGCTTCCCACCGTATTCAAGCCCCTGCAGCAGCTCTTCGCTAAACATGGTAGAGGTCCGTCGGACAGACGTGTGCACTAGAGACTGTTGCCAGGTGGAGTGTGAGTGATTACACAGTACTTGGCAGCCGACGGTTGCCACATCGGTGCCCATGAGCATCCTTCAAATTTTTTAAGTCTATTTTATACATGGCCATGATCATCAGTATGCTTGCTGAAAGAACAATTTTGTTGTTGTCGGCAAACTTTCAAAAAGAAGCAACTGCAGATCAGATATTGCTCTGTATAAAGTTATGTGATTTGTACAGTAACTTTCGTTCATGTAATGTATGTTGTAAAACAATGTTTTACCTTCTTTAAGAGTATTATGTTAACAGTAATCAGAAGAGAGGCAGTAATTTGTTATTTCACCACTTAACAGTTTACTTGCTAAGATCTGAAGGACACTTAGGCAGAGTTGCCACACATGATTTTCTTTTTTCAAGAGTGGCACCTAAATCTTTCCAGATTGATACATTTGTTTCAAGGTATGATAAAATCATCCATGCATCATTAAAGATATAATATTTTATTACAGATTCAGAATATTAAGTAAGATACAGCATCAAACAAAAGATTTAATGAAAGAAAATGAAACCTTTTCGTTGGGAGACTTAACTAAAGTTTTAGTTCTGAGTAAATCAATAACCATCAAAAAGTCTGAGTGAATACATGAAACACTTCTTTCAAGATGAAAAAAAGGAAGAATCTTTGCAAGAAAGTTTGCATCATAGTATTTTCATCTCCAATGAATGAATCTGCTGCTTGTAGTGTTACTTTGTTTTCTTGTTTCAACCTCTGGAGATTCTCAATGCACCATCGGTGATATCGTCCTTGTTTAAATCTTCTAATAAACGTTTTGGTGGATTCCAAGAATAGCACTCAGCTCTTTGGAGAGAAATAGCCTGCTTGGCTAGGAGCGTATTAACCACTATTCTGGGTTTTTTTCATATTTGTTTTGTTTGTGGAGCAAGTTTCCACGAGCTCCATGTACGGACAGACGACTGAGTAGTGCCCTCTGAGGTGTTCATACACTTCAATTATGGCAAGGGGTGACATAATTGAAGTGTATATACATCTCAGAGGGCACTACTCAGTCGAATGTCCATACCCGGAGCTGGCGAATACCCGCCCCACAAGGGGTCACAGCTCAAGGTTGAAGAAACCGCAAGCCCAGAAAACTGTGAGGGGTAAGTTTTTTCGGAGTGAGAATTGTAAACTCTTGGAACAATCTGTGTTCCGACGACACCAAGTGTGAGCTCTTTCAAGACCAGACTTGGGCTGCAGTGGAGCAAGTTCAGATACATTCAGGCGCCAGTACATACCCAGTACTTGCCAACAGTGCGTAACAGACTTGACCGATCGCCCAAGCGGCTAACGAGCCGATCAGTGGTGAAGAGGAAATTATATTAATGAATTGGCAACTAACTACAACCAAGCTGCCACAAGATTCTCACATCAAATTTTCTTCATTATTTAAGCAAATGTACGAACATTTGGAAACTTCTCATGATCTAAAATAATGGTGAATAGTTTATTATCATAAAAATACTGCCTTTAGTTTGTTTAATATTTATCCTGACAGTGATACAGCCGAAAATAGATCCACCAATCACAATCACCATTACATACAGCCTTAATTTACCAAGTATTGCCAGGTAAAATTGCGAGTACGAGACCCAGGGTGGGGTCAGTGCATCTTTGGTCGATTGTACATACTGTATGTGCTACAATAATGAATATTGATATAGGATATTTACCATTCACCCATTGACCATTAAAGTACCGAACAAAATAACATAAACTAGTCCGTAGGATTTGAGTGAACTGCAATCTTGGACAGCACAAGTATATGCAGTACAGTACTAAGCTATGCTCTCTCTCATATATTAAACATAGAGCAGTACATGCGATATAACCCTCGCGTGGCCAGTAATTCAGACTCACTAGTAGTACAGTACATGTTTTATTTGTCCACAAGATACATAGCTTTAGGCAGTGCAGTGTGAACAGGCCCGTAGGCGTGGTGTGGGTGGTTCAGTTGACAGCCAACAAGGACCACCTAACACCAGTGCGTCATGCAGCCCAGCGCGGGGGGGCAAGCGTAAACCGTCTTGTCTACGGAAATTGATAAACTTATTTCTTTCACTACACAGCAGTGAGATGATGAAGGTACAGTTATTAAGCAAATGGCTGGAAAATATATTGATGTGTAATCAGAAACAATACTCAACTTCCGTACATAAGACGCGGGCGAGTTCTTGTGAGCCAGGGGACGCACAGAGCTGCAGGGCACCGCGGACCTGCTAGCACCCAAAATGCACAACAAAGGTTAAAACAGTCCTTGATACCTTGACTATTTTCCCACACTCGTCAACCTCACCTGAGATCAATACTTTAGAATCATTTTTTTTTAAGGAAGATATATGGTTCGGTATTTACAAATGTTCAAGTGAGGTTTTAGAATGTAGCAATATGGGGTGGAGTGCTTTGGCCTCTGAGAATTAGAGGGAGAAGCAAGGCTATATTACCTGTACTGGGTATCATCCCTTGAGAAACTGTTGCGGCAGCAGTTTCAGTCATCAGAACATAGGAGGAACTTAATAATATATACTTATCACAAAAGGACACTCATCGCCATCGCAGAGCACTACAAATAATTATACAATAGCCAGAACTAGACAATGGACATTTCTGTGTGAGGTAAATTCAAAGATCCTATTTCCCTACTTGAGAACGATTATGAATGCTTTCCAATCTAAGCAAAATTTATGACTGAACTATACAATAAAAAGGAAACTCAACAGGGATTGGATAACTAACCCAAAAATAACATTTTTCTGACCGCGATTTACCCATAGAAAGAAAAGAATGAGGAAAAAAGAAAAGAAAATTCGTCAGGTGGTAAATTCACAGCGGTTGAAATAATTTGTTAGGGCAAGAAACAAATGAATAGCATTCAAACAATTTATATTGGGTTTAGAGCAAATGAATGATTCACTGTACAAATAATAATTAATTATGAAACCCAGCAGAGTTAGTAGGGATGTTTTCTCGCCACCGTTAAACCGAGGCTCTTGTAGACTGTCGAGCACCTAATGTTGTAACTTCTACGTGGCGAAGGTTACCGGCGTGTAGAACTTATTGTAGGTGCCCCACCCCTTGGCAGCGAGGTTGAAGCTCATGGAGCGACGTTTGTCATCCTTATCATCAGTCATGAGTTCTAGCAGAGAGTGCTGGGGTACTGTGGACACCATGGTCTGGGGTTATGAACTTGTCCAACAAATTATATATATATATATATATATATATATATATATATATATATATATATATATATATATATATATATATATATATATATATATATATATATATATATATATATATATATATATATATATATACGCTATAAAATTATGAAGAAAATATTACTATACACTCCGGTTTCTAACACTGGAGTACTATATGTCAATTAAAAGGCAATATAATAATGTACTGATATAAAATATATTAAAAGATTATTCATGTTGAGAACAAAATGATTGTAATTTTATCAGGTGACTGAATGACTGAATACTTACAGTCAATGACTGGTGTAGGCGGTGCCTGCGGAGGGAGTGGGAGGGTTGGTGCCATTTGACGGCGGGAACAGTGGTGAAGGTGACGTGTTAGTAATGGACATAGAACTCATCCCAGTGAACAACATGCGCTCCCGGAGTTTAGCAGATGTCCTCTCTTCATGAACTACATCCTCGTTCTCACTAAAACTTTTCTCTGACTCCACATTCCCCGACCTTTCATACACTTCACCTCCCAGCGTTTGTACAATTGCTGGCGCCTGATCTGGTTGCCCGGACTCCACCTCTTGGTGATTTTCAACCACAAGGGACGTAATTTCATCAGTGCTTTTATCATCCCAGGACATTTTATTAGATGGAGACTGTTGTGAAACGTCCTTATTACCTTTGTTTACATTTAACAAACATGAACTCTCACTCTCTGGTGTAAATGTTGGTACAGTCTCATATTTGTATTCATATGGCGACAATGATTTCATCCCAGAGGAACTAATGTTATTTTCCTGAGACTTATTATCAAGAGAGGATGTATGTGTCACTTTCTTCTGGTCATATTCCCCGTGAACCAAAAATGAAGCATCATCATCAGGTTTCAAATTAACTGTAGCTTCATTTTGGTCGTAAGTGAAGCATGTTAAGTCATCGTCATCTCCAGGTATATACTGAGGGTGATGCAAGGATATTTGCATTGTTACTTGAGGACTGTCCTGACATTCTGCGTCGAAGCAGTCGAGAGCGATACCATTAATGACCAGATGGTCTGGGTCCTCGACTTCTTCATTAAGACTCGTACGAGAGACACTGCGGTAGAAGTCTGGCGGTCTGAGGTCATCCACGCTTATGGTGTCTATCGCTGTTGGCAGATTATCAAAGCTTTCTTCCATCTCAAGCAAGAACTTTTTTAGTTCTTCCTCGTCTAAAGATGATTTTCTCTGCTGGTATGAGATTTGGATATGAGGGACCTCTTGGAATACACCATTGGCGATAGTACCATTCTCCTGTTTGTAATCTTTAGCTGAAGACAAAATTTTCGAGCATTCGCCATTCTTGTACACATTTGTACTAGTTTCTTCTTTAATATCCGTGCCCGGCAATTTGAGAATGGACTCATTTGTCATAAAAGTTGTGGCTGGGTTCATGCTCAAGGCTTCTGCGACCAAGCTGCTGCCATTTCCATTATGGTTAGCGCATTTATTTTCGTTTTCTCTCGGATCGATATCAGGGTGTGAAAAAGATTCGTGCGTTCTGAACACTGACTGACCATCTTGTATCAGATCAGCGCTATTTGATAAGATGGACTCAGTCTCAGGAAAAGATTGCTGTGATTTATTGAAGTTTAAATATTGTTTAATTACGTCGGTCGGTTTCAAATCAATAAAGGTGAAGTCTTGGGACACATTCATAGACTTGGGAGAGTTTCTGGAAGAGTCGGGGAGTGAGGATCCTGAGGAACGTGGCACACGCACCTCTAGAGTGTCTTTTTTAGAAATAGACTCTTCTATGCAAACTAAGGGAGGAGAGGCACTATTGCACTCAGGGTTTTGCACTACATGAA